TTTCTACATTCTCATCAAAATTTTATCATTATTATCATTATCATTATTTCTAAGTGAGTTTGTCGATTTACACGTCACTTCAATTCCAGTCAGCATGACTGAGATTTCTCCTCAATGCTTCTCACCTGCCTTCCTTGTATGGTAGCACAGCAGCGGCTTTGAATTCTCTCTCCATCCTGTCATCATTGTTACTATTAGTAGTAGAGTTATTATCAGCAATACGTGTATTGTTAGTACAACCACTTTTCCTTTTGTTTGTTATGAATTTATTTATAAATTTGGGTGGGTAATTATTGAGACGGAAGGAATTCTTGGTGTCCACTTTCTTGTAGTAGATTTTCTGGTCTACTAGTAAGCTTTTCCATCCCGTCACTTTGGCACTTAACTTGGCTTTCTTTAACTGAAATGGTGTGAGAAATTTGAAGTCTAAGCAATGATTCGAATGCATAGGTTCCTTGCAGATACTAGTCTCTAAACCTCTGTTTTGTGTTTGTTTACTATTGCAATCCAACATTGCTAGCTCACTTTCATCACTTTCTAAGACACAGATAATACCAGTTCAAGACCTGGTTTTACTGTGGAGCAGTAAAAGTTGCCACACCTCATGTCACTACACCAAGCGATAACACTTTAAGAAGAAAGATAAATAAATCAAGAATAACCCACTAAAAAATTGTATAAACTCATCTATAGATCGTAAGAAGGAGTAAGAGATTACTAAAATCCAGTGCGACGATTTCGATAAGATAAAGTGCTGTTACAACTGTCGTCATGTGGACCTCGACTAGGAAGCCCTTATTTCTTTCGACAAAAAATGACCTTACAAGTATTAATATACTAAGGTCAGAAAACTACTGCATAACTTTAGGTCGTACAAGTATTGTGGATTCCTTCAGTAAATTGTATCCTTATTAGTGTTCTTTCTTCTGGTTTCCTTGATTTATGCTTTTCGCCTAAGTTTATTTCTTAAATTTGCAAGTTATTACATTAACCATATAATATTTACTCATTTTCATCGGTATATTCAATGAATCGAGTATATTTAAAACTTTTGGAATACTGATATCTTCATTGTATTTTTCAAGTTCTAAAAGCCTTCACAGTTCCATCAAATCTTCCTAATTAGTATAAAGAATGAGTTTTTTTAAATGCTGAATTTACTACGCATTGAATATTTAGTTTATAATGAGGGAGTATGACGTCGAAGAAGGTCTTCATCTGCCAAGATCTACTTCATATCGAAAAAAACATTGATACAAGTTTGAAGCACATGTTTTCTATTCCAGAGGAGAGAATATTGAGTAGATAGTGGAAATCCAAATGACTTCAAAGATCAATCTATTGACAACTGAAGTAATCCATTAGGTTACTCGATTTCGGCTAGAATGGCTGTTCTGTCATGAAATCAGAACCGTAATTCGTTATTTTAGTAGTTGTTAAGATGGTCCTTTAAGTTACCATAAAACGAAGACACAAAGCATGGACTAAGTTTCTTTAGCAGTAAAAAAACTATGATGCTTTCTGAAGACATTCATTTCTTTCGAATGATGATGAGAAAAGTGTCCGAAACTCTCCGAACCGTCCTAATTTAAACATTTAAAATTTATGCTTGGAGGCGGAAATCCCGAAGTTCTCATGAGAAACCGTGGCCTATAGGATAGGTCAATTCAGAAGTGAAAGAGATGTCGACTGAAGACCTTGGTAGATTTTTGGGCTGCATCATAAACTGATAAAAGTAGGGAACTGGAGAGCATTGAACTCTGACCAAGTGGCTGGATGGTCAAGGTATTCGCCGTGAGACATTAAGCTGTTTAGTTCGAATGGTGGCAGGACAGGGTTGTGATGAGTAATGTTGAAGAGTCACATAGTAGGCGTAAACAGCTGTCCATTGCTTCTCCAACTAATATCAGTCCATCATGAACGTGTATGAAAAATGCTTGGTCAGTCAGCCAACTTAATCGCAGAGAGTTATGCTACTGAAAGCATCAAATAATCTGCGCAGTCATATACTCTCTTCTTGATGTCAGCTCACTGATACCTTTACTTTCAGTTGGAATGGGTTGTTGTTAATTTGAAACAAAAGTATCCAAAAGCCAAAGCAATTCGCTTTATAGACAAAGAGGTGAGTAAAGTATGCCTTAAGCATAATTTGAAGTCTTAGTTACTGATTATTGAGGGAAACCTTTCTTACGTATGTTTGACTCCATCCCGCCAGCGGTAGAAATCAGGATCTTCAGGTTTCATAGCGAAGGTCATAGCTATCCAGCAAATGGATCAGAGTTCAGTGGTTGACAGTTTCCTACTTCAGTTCATTTATGATATAGCCCTACAATTCATCAAGGTTTTCAGTCGGTATCTGCTTCACTCCTGACTTGATTTATCCGACAGGTCGTGGTTTCTCATTAGAACTTCGAAAGCATATCAGTAATGAACATTATACAGTAGTGTAGTTCGAGATCTATGTGGACTGTTTTTCTGAAGTAGTATTCATCATGGACTGATATTAGTTGAAGAGTCATTGATAACCTGTGAGGAGTAGGTTTACAAAATCAAAAAACTTCTCTCTGACCACTACGACTGCTGTGAATTCAAAGCACTTTCTTTGAAATGGGTGGACTTCAATAGAAGTACAGACCCTCAACACTGCAGAAGATGATACCTGGACATCAGATTTGTCCATTTGATTCAGCATGCAGAGAAAAAAGTTTTATTTATACTGGGTGGTTATTGAAGGTGAAACGAAAATTCAAACCCCGGCTAGATTCGAACCAGCGACCATCAGATTTCCTTGCCCTATGCTCTACCAACTGACCTATGAGGTCCGACTGCTGAACAGATTTTTGTTTCACTTCAATCATCTAGAATTTTGCCCAACTACAATGTGAATTACTGACGGGGCTATCTCAGACAGTTAAAATGATAATCAAGCTGATGCCCTACCTTTCTAACCTATTTATATTTGGATTAGGATGAGAAGTCCTGACTAATGAGCAACCAGTGTGAACACGATCAAAAGGGGAGTAACGCATTACGAATTCATATGGTAGTTTGTCAAAACCCTTCGTGACTGAAGTGAAACAAACACCTGGTCAGCAGTTGGACCTCGCAGCATTGAGCCGGTAATCCGATGGTCACTAATTTGAATCCGGCTGTGGTCCGAATTTTCATTTCATCTTCAATCAACAACCAGCATAAATACTAATCAGCCGAATTACGGCTATGTCAGTCAGTCAAGATGATAGCATTATTTACTAGATGACCTTTAGAACCAGTTATATTGAATGCAAAAACTGATCACATATCCGTAACCACTGTTGCATCATTTCCATAACAAGTGCTAAACGAACAGCTTCGGTGGTAGATGAGATATAATTTATTTTCGAGTAGTAAAATATTTTAAAAATTAACTTGCTACACTAGTTGTTATCTATCGTAGACTGACATCAGTTGGAGGAAGAAAGAAAACCTGGGAGCACTGGACAGCTGTTTCGTCCGACTAGTCTGGGACTCCTCAGCAGTGCGCACTCACGACCTTACCCCACCCCACTAGGAATCGGGCTTGTGACCTTCAGGTTCCGCGGCCAGCAAGCCATCATTCAGCTAACCAACGGGTCGGTGGAATCCAATCGTCCATATTTCCAGCTTCTGTTAGCTCACGATATAGCGCAACCGCCACCCAATGTCATCGTTGAGTAACTGTCCTCATGACCATCAGGCTTAACTCCACCGGTCACGACTTCTCATTGGAACTTCGGGAATACTCCTCGAAGCTAGTCATCAATGAGCACCAGTTCAATTGAATTTTGAGGGAGTTGTGGAGATTGGCAAATATTTCAAGTTGTTATCCATCGTGAGCTAACAGAAGTTGGAAATATGAAGCATTGGATTTTGACCCAGTGGCTCAATGGCGACGCGCTGGCAGCGGAACCTGAAGGTCGCGGGTTCAATCGTTGGTGGTGTGGGGTAACAACTTGAAATATTTGCAAATCTCCACAACGTCTTCAAAATTCGATTGCTATACTAGATTGTAAAATTAAACGAAGGCAAGATGGTGGTTTAGATACAAGTTTCTGTAAAATACTTTCGCTTTGTAATAGAAACCTGAACCTTCGGTCATTTCATCTTTTATCAGTAAAGTGAAGTTTAATCAAACATTCTAGTAACTAAACCAAGAGTCTCCATAGTAAATGAAAAAAATTTGAATAAGGAAATGAAACTCAGATAAACAGCCCTATGTATTGATAAATAGCCTTCAGAATTTATTCAGAAATCCATAAAGATCCATAAGAAAAGAAAAATTGTGGTGTGAACAATGGTTACAACATGGATAAGAAGGAATTCAAAGCTTATCTAGTGTTCCTATATCCAGAAAGGACATCAGAGACGTTATATATCTGTTAGGCTGGCTTTAGAGTGGCATTCAAGCCTACACACTCACTAGGAAACTATAGATCTTGCGATGACTGTGAGGTATATAGGTTGAACAAGGTCAGTTAGATTGGCCTAACATGGGAACCTACCTAAGTCTCGATTAATAAACCCTACTAATCCAAAGAAGGGTTCAGATCTACATATCCAACTGATGAAAAACAGTTACGCAATAAGATGTGACGGAGTTATAGTCTTAAAGACCAATCCTTTCAAGTGGAAACAGAGATAAGCTGATACCTTAATCTCTGTTCATCAATTTAACGCCTAGGATATGTAAGCTAAATGACACAACACCAACTCTAGATATGAGGAAAATTTATCCTTTTAGCATATGGATATCTTACTAGCAACTCAACCAATCAGGTCAGTCAAAATAATGAATATATATATATATATATATGATGTCACCAAATTATACACACCTAACATAGAGTGTGAATGCAGTTCATTCACCTACTCATATCTGACAGTTAAATGTCTTGATAAAGAAAACTTATGTCCATATAAAATCATAAAGTATCAGTTCAACAATTTCAATATCAAAAATTAAACTGTTTTCTCTAACTTACCTTGTTCAATAGGTCCTGGCATAGAATATCTATCACCGTGTACAGCTTTTAAACTTTCATTATTTACACCAAAACCATCTATAATCCATTGTACACTTAAATAATCTTCATAAAATATACTCAATTTAGAAATATTATAATTTTTATAATAAACTCTACAAGACATAATAGTATTTGTATTAAATAGAACAGATTGATTTTCTGGACCTTTTAAATAACTATTAATCTGATGTTGTTGAATAGACAATCCATTTTCATTATATATTTCCTCTTGACTGTAATCCAATGATGATAAAGATAATAATATTGTATATATAATAAAAAAATAATCCAATTTCGATATGAAAATCTTGAAAAGAATAATGTATAAGATATTATGACTAGTTTTCCAATTCATTATCATACTGTTTTACATGGAAAAATATTTCAATCATATACATTATTGAAAATATTCTCCTGTATACATTTATGGTGTATTATTACATATATATATATATATACGAATTTAATTTTATTTCATCAAATATACAATTCTGACATTAAGTATCATTGCCATGAAGAGTATTTCCATATTTGTTATATCGAAAAACTGATTTCATGAATAAAATATGCACCAATTTAATTTTTGACTAATCACTAATAAGCTGAATTTTCATTGGTTGATTTAAGAGTTTCTTAATTTTCAATATTTTATACATATGTAAACTATAAGGTATAATAAATATTCCTTAGACAAAAATATCAACAGAAACATAGTAGAATTATATTGATGAAAGTAGGTAATAGTTTAATAAGTAAAAGTATAAGGAAGTAAATGATGAATAGTGGCTATTAATGGAACTTGTCAGCTGGATGTATCTACTTCTCAGTAAGTGATGTTGTTTCCATTGGGAATGAGTCCGAAATACGACGAAATGAGCATCGTGGATTCCACAGCTAGCCAGTATCCATCATGACTATCATAAGAGCACAGGTAATATCTAGGCATCTGCACAGGATCCCAAGAACCAATAGAGACCGATCAGTTTGGTTCAATCAACAACAGTATGGAGTACAAAACAATCATACACTAAAAACTATACCCGTTGAACAAGAAGTGTCTATCGTGGCTCGTTGGTGTAGTGGATAACGCTCTGGTGTTTAAGGCGATCTCTGCTGAGTCCTAATCCCGACGGGAACAGCATCACTCACTCACTGGGATGCAGGTACATCAAGCTGACAAGCCCCAAATAGGTCGAAATGCGCATCCTGGATTCTACTGTTAGCCAGTATCCATCAATTCTATGATTAGAACACAGGTAATATCAAGGCATCCGCATAGGATCCTATATGCTAATAAAGACCACTCGATTCGGTCCAATCAACAACGGTATGATATAAAAACAATTATATACTAAAAGCATGAGAAACATGTTTGATTAATAGACAGCTGATCAAAATTTGTTCACTAACTGTTTCACATATGAATTATTAGAAGTCAATTCATGTGTTAAATAGGACAAATTCAGTCACATTTTTGTTCATTGACACTCACCCAGTGGCATACTTACTCCATTATAATAAAAACCAAAAAAATGTAGACATTTCGATAATCAAAGTAGGTCAGTGGCTTGGAAAAACAAAAGTTGTGAAATACTGAATAAAAAAATGAGCGGATAAACAAAGTCTAATCAAATACATTAACTCTATGATAGAAATAAAAATTAAGAAAGGGATAGAAAAGATGTAAGTGATATCGTTGCTTATCAAACATTTCCTGATATACGGTGGGGTGACCGATGTACAAATTTCTTCATGATGCATAGACTTGGATTATCAACCCCTATTCTCACAACTTCTGTTATGCGTACGAACATCTATCGAAGGTACTATTCTTATCGACCAAGTAACGAGTATCAGCAAGATGAGGTAAAACAGAAGTTGTGATGGATTCTATATGACCCTTTCTTAATCATGAAGATCGATTCTCCATAGAAGTAACTAAACTTGTAAATACACATAGAAATACTGAAGCTAGACGACTTGTCTTTTGTCCGGAAAACAAATACTGGTCTACTACAAAATGACAGATGGAGTTGTGCAGCGTAGGAAGTCTTTTTAAGGGCTCTAACTACATCTCGATTAAAATGCAGTTTCATTCTCAATAATTTCTTTTGAGGGGTAATAATTCAAGGTTTTTTCCTGTCTGTTTGTCTACCTATCCTCTTATGAAGCTGTTAGGATAACCTACTTCGATCAATGACTTTCGGATATCTACTAACTCCTTAGGTATTAAATCACCTGAACATATTCATCTTGCTCTGTTAGTAAAGCACTTAACCAGGTTCCGTTTGAGCCAACAAGGAACATTGCCAAGAAAATATGCATGCTGTGCTATTGACGGGTATCTAGACCTCAAGTCATCTCATCCAACGTCGGTCAGACAGGTTTATTCAGGTTTATTCAAATGTTTAGATGATTAAGCTAGAAAATTGACTAGTCAGTGCAAAGACCTAACTAAGGAACTGAAATGCGTAAAACAAACGCTTACAGTTAATGATCGTCTTGCGCAGTTTATTAAGGAATTCATACAAACACACAAGAAATGAAATAATAACATTATCACCAGCACGAATAATAACGACAACACGAGGAGAATGGATTTCACAGCCTCCATTGTATTACCTTATGTGGAAGGAACATTAGAACATTTACGTGTGGTCCTCAACAAAGCTGGGCTTAAGGTGACATTTAAACCTACAAACTCACTCAATGATAAGTTTTGTCGGCTGGTCTCAGGTTTCGATAAATCCAATTGAGCAAAATAATCTAATCTATGAAATTTCATGTAATGACTGCGAAGTCAAGTACGTAGGTCAGACCAGCCTTTCGGGGTCAGTTACAATAGCCGAACATAAGAAGTTAGCTAAATATCGAAAGACCGACCCGGATCGGATCAATTACCTGCGAAAGCGTATTCGTCTACAGCAGTGCATGCAATACCAACACACAACCACAAAACATGCTGGGATAAAACCACTGTACTTAAATAGAATATAATTAGGTGTCGACGGAGAGAGGTGGGGACTGATTACTGAATCAACACAGGCAACACATGTAATGGAAATTACGCTTCACCTTTACCGGATGTGGAGAATTTTACTACCAACGAAAGCAAAGAATATGAGGTGACAAGACTATTAAAAACAGTGGTTGAAACTTGTATGTCATTACACTGATATGATTATGAGCTATAATAGTTTATGCTGGAAACATCTTCAAGTAAATAATACTGTACCACTGTGTGATATAAATCAGATAAACACATGTAATATGGAATCGAAAAATTGTAGTTTACACAAATTTGCTTTTACACAAGTTAAAGTGAGTAAAAGGCATAGCTCACCGAATTTTCTTAACATCTCGTTTCTGTTCATACTCTTATTCAGGATAATGGTTGTTTCATCAATATAGCGGTGATAATTATTCATCTCAATAATAACGAGTTTTAATGCTTCGGTCTTCAGTTTGGCAAGAAACAAATCATTTATATCATGGCCAAGTAGTAAACCCATAGCTATCCCATCAGTTTTTCTACAATGTGAGCTATTGAAGACGAAATGTACATTCACAATACATCTAAGAAGCAATTCCTTGAGGATGTGGATGTGGGGTCACGATACTGATTTACCTTTCTGATATTTGTTGACACAAGTATCTACCATTTTCGATAATGGGACATTAGTGAGAAATGATTGGACGTCTGACTGACACTAGACATCAATGCAGACGTCTTCAATTCCTGCAAGATATGAAAATAATCTTGATCCTACTGAGTTTTTGCTGAAACTATAATCGGTTTACTCCTTGAAGCTTATTTTTGTTTCCAAAGGAAAGCTATAGTCAACCTCATTTTACCTTGGCAATTCTTCATGACTGTTATTTGGTTACACCATCCTTTATCAAACTTATATGCTTATTTCCTCACTCTTATTTAGTTACTTCAACTTTCGCTTGTATTTAATGTTTTAACTAACTGACCTTAACTCACAATATTTTACTTATATATCTTACAACCTACTCATATAATATTCCGATCGCTACTGTTGTCGCTATTCTTATTCGAGAAACTTTCCATTCCATTATGTATCTAATTATGACCATTTATTAACTCTTTGTGTATTTTTCATCACGACTGACCTTTACTCCAGGACTATTACCATCCATCCTAAGCACTGAACAACCTTCTGTTTTGTTTCAATGAATAAGTGTGAAGTCTTAACTAAAACGATATATTTTGAAATTCTAGGGATTGTAAGAAGTTGACGAGATATCACCAAAATAATATTGATCCATTTTATTCTGATTCCTCATTGTTTTACTCATTATATTTGTCTAGTCAAAAAAGTTATCGGTTACTGATTAACCAGTGAGATGCATTCTTCCTTTAAAAACAATCATTGAAAAATTGTGAAAATTTCCCTTTAAAGACTATTATTCTTGACTGAAAGATAAAAGTGGTTTGACCAAAAGATTCTTTTCATTATCTGTCACTTTAACTGACGTCCTTAGAAAGTTTATATGGAATTGATCACATCATATTTGGTTAAAAATTTTGTAATTTCACATGTAAAGTACACTTAAATCGGATGTTTATCATAATGACTTAGCAATTTAGCTAGTACATGATTTGCACCTCATAACTCCAGAAATATCATAAACCACTTCTAAACGGAATAATGCTGATATGTTATCGATTGTTATGTTTACTTGCCAGAAATAATCAAGATACACTCAGCGGAGTAAGGATGATTGTATGATGGCACAAAGTTGTGAGAATATACTCTTAGTAAACAAAATCTATTATCATAATGACGGATAGTGGAATCCAGGACACTTAGTGGATAACTGATTGATGTTTGAAGGGATCAGTCACCGGTTGCAGTATGTGTGGGAACAGTATCGCTCACTGGTAGGCGCGTACTTCTTAAATTGGATGAAATGCTCTACCGCTAGACGGTATCCGTAAGTACTCTAAAATTCAATCGACAGGCAATATCCATGAGTCCGCGCATGAGCGTGTAGACCAGTAGTGACCTACCATCTTGATATACAAGTAATAACACAAGAAGCCAGTTGTTAGGCATTTTCGAGATGTTTTCTCCGCATCAGTCATTGAGGCATGAAACAAACTGTTAATGTATGTCACATGCTCAAGGAAAGTTTATTATATATATTATCCCGTTGATGTTGCACACAGAATATACTTTGAACCCATTCTTAACTTATTTACGTTTTCAAACTTTCTTCTTCTTCGGGTTATCCTAAGAAACATATTGAACCATCATGATGTCCACGGAGCCTTTATGCTTACATTTCTCGTTTATTGTTAAGAAAAAGCGTCACTGAAATCTCTACTCACTT